CTTTTAGAAATCGGTCACAAATAACTGAGAAAGCAGCATAATACACGTACGAGAATGTGCCCCCAGTTAGGTCGCTAGGCGCCAACTTTCCAGCAACGGCGAGTTGCTGTAGCCGGTTAAGGTCTTCAGCAATCTCCATGATGCTCTTCGCCTGGACGTTCTTAACGTTTGGTACAATCAGACCCGTTGGCGTGTCCATCGCCACCGAAATGTTGTGTGCAGCGACCAACGTGAGCTCAGTCTCGCTTTCGTTCACGGTCGCATTCAGCATCGGATAGTGTTTCAAAGCCAACGACGCAGCCTTAATGATGAAAGGCATAAACGAAAGCTTCACTCCACGAGACTCAGCGAGCGGCTTCAATTCCTTCCGCAACTCATACAGCGCGTCCATCCGAATCTGCCGTACAATACAAAAGTCAGTCACTTGCAGTGTAGTCATGCATACACTACAAACTGGTTACCTCATCTGCGTATCCGAAGTGCGGGATCTGCAGTGCCGCGTTCATGGACTTAACCATCATCTTCTGGATAGGCGTTAACGGCACCACCGTGTCTTGTTGCAAGTACGTGGTGTTGGACCCATCCACTGCAGGAGGCTGCGCGGTAGCAGTACTCTGACCAGCAGGAGGAGCAGGAGTGGACGGCTGTGTTGCCAGCATTCGGATGTACTCCAGCAGGTCTCCCTTAAGGATTCGACCTTGCGGTCCAGTGCCTTCCACGTCGTGCAAGTCGATGTTGTGCTCCTTAGCTAATCGCCGCACCGACGGGGACGTCAGCAACTTCTCCTCTCCTTCAAGTCTGCGAGGAGCAATGGGAACCCTCGACACGACAGGCGTCGGAGCAGCAACAGGCTCAGGAATTGGAGCCGTAGGAGCAGGAGCAGCCACAGGCTCCGTGGCAACGGGTGTGGGTGTCCTGCGAGGGATCGGAGCTCCCTTCTTCTTGCCGCCGCCTTGCGTAGCCGCAGCCGTGGCCTCATCCACGTCAATGTCGATGAGCGTGGAGCCCACTTTGGCCATTTCTCCCACTTCATAATGCACCTTTGTGACGATACCGTCGTAGCGACTGGTGATCTCCACTGTGGCTTTGTCGCTCTGGACTTCGCACACATTCTGGAACTGCTTGACCTCATCGCCGCTTTTGACGAACCACTGTAGCACTTCAACCTCAGCGATACCCTCGCCAATGTCCGCAAGCTTGAATGGGATCTCGGGGAACGCAGTCACCGCGCTGGTGTGGAAGCCACGGCGAGTGGCAGCCAGTCGATGGCCCAGACGACGCGCGCGCAATAGTGAAGAGCTCATTGACAGAGTGATGGTGAGTGCGCACTTGAAGTCCAATCGAGGAATGGCCGAAGCGGCGGACGGATCGACGTTGCAGTGCCTCGAATAGTGGACCCCATCTGGCCGTGACGTCGTCGATGAATAGGGTAATCTGATTCCGGTGCGAGAGATTTGACCAGGAGGGACGACGTCGATGGCTTACTATTTTGGTGATTGCCGATGCACATATGAAGACCGGTGGTATGGGAATTGAGATCATTTGACAAGGATGTTGTTCATTACGTTTGCAACTTGCCATTCGACTGCACGAGGACGTAAAGAAAAATTCGCTGGAGACCATGGCTGGGTTAGCTGAGCATGTTGACGGCCTGGTTCTCGAGGGATTCGAAGCGCAGCATCTCGTTCGTGTACGTCTTGGCGTCTTCGTCGACAGGCGTGGCGCTTAGCGAGAAGTCCAGGCTGCTGCTTACGTCAAATGGCACGTATCCAGATGCACTATCAGCGCAGGCGTATCCATGGCGGGCACGGAAAGCACCACCCAAAGCAGCCGAGTTGGAGGCACAGGTGAGGCGATACACCGGCACATTGAACACGTTGGCGAGAACCTGCAACATACACTTGTTCGCAGAGGCTCCTCCGACCACCATAAGACGCTGCGGCTTGTTGACGCCAAGTTTCTCCGCATGCAAACGCAGCGACAGAAATTGGCTCTCCACCACTGCACGCACTTCCACTTCAGGAGGGGAGTGCGAGATGTCAATGCTAGCACCGCTGGCATTGAAACCAACAACTCCAGCCCTAAGAGTGGATGGAGTGATCTCCGGATCCTGATAGTAAAACGCTGTGGTGCCTCCGTTGCCCGCCTTCGTAGCTTGCATTAGCTGCTCGAACATCTCCCACGACTCATTCGCGCGTCGATCTCGCACATCCTCTCGCGTGAGTGAGCCGTTCTTGAAGCAGATCATAGCCATAACCGAGTTCGGGTCAATGGGGTTGCAGAAGAAGTGCCCCTCTTTGCCAGAGAAGCGCGCGGCTTCCGTCGGCACCACCGCAAACAGCGTGCTGGATGTACCCAGCGAGACACCCACGTCACCGGGCTGAGATAGACCAATACCTGCGAGGGTGCACGGGTTGTCACCGGAGAACGCGATCACCTTGCAATCAGCAATAAAGCCGTATTTCTTCTGGAAGTAGACATGAATAGAGCCCACTGACGAGTACGCTCGCGAAACCTGCGGACCCAAGGCCGCCACTAACTTCTCCGCAGCATTAGCAGAAGTACTGTACTTCGTAGTGGCCTTCACGAGCTCAGGGGACCACACACGTTCGCGTACGTCAAGCAGGTTCATGCCCGATCCGTCGCTGTCATCAATTGGAGCGTATTCACCGCACAGGAGCGACGTCAGCATCGACGAGACTAGAGCGATACGTCCACATTTCTCCAGAAATGCAGGATCCTCGTGGATCCGCTTGGCGATTTGATTGCCCGTGAAGCGCTCGTACGCTCGGGACCCACTGATCTCAGCGACGCGGCCAGGTCCACCTACAACATTCTCCAACTCAGTGCAGTAGCGCGTCGTAGAACTGTCCATCCAGCTAGGTCCGTTGGGCAGGCAGAACGCAGGCTCTTGCTGTTTCTGCATGGCCTCCACCATGGAAACGGCGCCAGACTCCGCGGCGGCGTCTAAGCAGGCACGAAGCGAGAAGCCCTTGTCCCAGTATACGGAAGCGTGTTGCTGAGCACTTCCACTGACGCTCTTGATCATAGCAACGTCGATGGAGCTCTTCGCCAGGTCTTCCATGATGGCGTCCAGGGACTCGACGAACATCAGCGAGGGGATCACTACCTCGTTTTCCTTCGGACGCAGCACGCCGTT